AAGTAATACACCAAAAGTCCACACTTTACCCAGCTTCCCCAATGATAACATTTTGTAAGCCTATAGTATAATGTGACAGCCAGGATATTGATATGGATACAATCTCTTGAACTTCTTCAGATTTCCCTAGTTGTACTTGTACTCATTTGTGTGTGTGTGTGAGATTTCATTCTATACAATTTTATCACATGTAGGTTTGTGTGTCCACCACCCAGCCTTCCAACCACACTGTTTTGAAAAATTTAGGAAATGCTAGAATTAGAAAAGACTGAAAGTCTCTGGCCATGCTCCCCAATGAAGATGACTGCATAGTTTTATGTAATTAGAAATGACATTTGCCCTGTGAACATCTATTTTTTTTATTAGTCTCCTTTCCCATATTGCAGACATGTTTGAGTGCATTCATCACTCCATGTTTTGTGTGTGCCTTTAGCCACACCACAGCCCGGGGTTTACCTCAGTGCAGAGATGTTCAATTCATGTTTAAAATACAAATCCATGTTGCACAGTAGAATTGAAAAGTAGGAATGTCTTAGGTGTTTTCTCTGCTTTTAAATGGAGACTAGTATTTTTGAAAGCTTACATCCTTATTATATTTACTTTCAAATATGTTATTCTACATGAAAATACTTCATAGATGTTTGATCTTTTGACGGTGGTGTTGCTGCTTTTGATAAAAAAGTAATTAGGTGAGCGTTTCCTGGTAGAGGTAATCATCACAGCTTGAAAGTACGTATTTCCTTTCATCCATTCTATTTGTAGGTACTCTCATCTGGCCCGTCTCTGTCTCTGTCTCTCTTTTAAGACAACCCTTTTGAAAGGCATCGTTTGTGAACTTACTTCTGCTAGAGCTAGCACTGGAAAAGAAATTGTCCAGCTTTTCTCTAATGGATCATGACAGTAGGTGATAAAATTATGGTCATTGTGCCATGAGTGTTTTTTGTTGCCTAATATGCTCTCTGAAAAAAAAAAAAATATGCCAGCAGTGATTCACAAATTCTTTGGAGAATGAACACAAACAAAATTTCTATATTTTCATCTACCTTATTAGGAAGATGAAGAGAGTTTCTTCTCTCATTTGGGATTTGAAATTGTTTTCTGCCTATCTTGTGAAATTTTTTAAATCTAGGAAATTAAGTGTTTGGCTATCCATACTAGATAAGTTGAAAAGAGAACACCTAGTGAGGGGTTGGTGGAGCCTACACAAGTTCTCTCTAGGGCAGCTTTGACTTCATGGGGACAATGGGAATTATAGAAATAGCTTCTCGTATCAGAGTGATCAGTCTTCTAGCCTTTGAGTCCCAAATGAGGACCCTGAGTGGATGTGGGTATTCAAGGGGCTTAAAATGTACAGCTTCTGTGGAAAAGATAGGAAGGGCACCTACCACTGTATTTTACCTGGTTCATTCATTCATTCATTCATTCATCAAATATTCATTGATTGCCCACAGTATGCCAGGCATGTACATAAAAATATTCTATGACATAGTAACTTATTCCAGAGAATTCAAGTGGTTTGATTTATTGTGCATACTCACCATGGGCCATTTAAATGTAGAGAGCGTCAACCTTTAAATTGACTTAAATTCTGTTAAATTTGTCTGTCACTCCTTGCACCCAATCCCTACCCCCAAATCGTGAGAATTTGGAACTTAGCCTCTCTAGTAAATCAAGATGGGGAGCTGATGATAGCATTGACCTTCCTGGGAAAGAAATATGCCAACCTCTGCTTCCCTTCCCTCGGAGGCAGAGGCTTCTCACCTCTCTCACCCTCTGCAAAGTGGAGGTGGTGATAATCTGGCCTCATCTGGCCAAGGGAGGATTAGATGAGCTCATGTGCCAGGCTCCAGAGATGCAGGCTTTCCCTAAAGCCATTCCTGCCTTCCTGGAGCCCACACGCATTAGGGAGAGGGACACACATGTTCATACCAACTATCCTGTGCTAAGTGTGAGCACAGCACGCTAGAGGGCCATGGGGATGGGTAGGGGAGCTGGAAAGGTTTGGGCCCTGAGAGAAGGCCAGGTGTGGATGAGCTTGGAACATGGTGGCATTGCTTGTGTAGACTCAGTGTGGATCCATCCCGGGCCTGGGGCTTGATGATGAGTGTCACTACAGTTTATTGTCCAAATGGGGACACTTTTTTAAAAAAATTATTGTGGCAAGATATCAGACAGAGATGCTTTTTTCCTAAAGCTGGTGCCATTAATAATGATCCTGGGACAACCAGACTGTGAGGAAAAACTGAGGCAAGTGGTCATTCTACCTGATGACCCTTATCTTTTTCAGTTGCCTGTCTTGCTCTCTGGTATCTTCTTTTTTGCTTGATACTTTTAGGACTTGTTGGATATACAAGACTTGATGCAGTGTAGTTGAAGCTGAGTGGGTTGCTGGGCCCAGAGAAGTCATGGAGTGTAATGCTATGGTGTGAAACCGTACACATGGCTCACATCAAAGATTTTAGACAAAGAGACCATGTGACATTATGTTTTAACATATATATGTGTTTGTATACACGTATAATTTATGGACATGTGTAATTATTACTATAATTTTTTACATATGAAGAGATTGAGGCACAGAGGGATTAATTTCTGTAGCTAGGGTTCCACAGCCAGATAGTAACAGAGATGACTCCAACACTATCCTTTGGACACTGCTTTAAAAATCTGTTTACAGAGCGTCATGTTTATTTGATAATTTTGATTATCAAAATTTGATGAGTTTGGTGATCAAGGGGTTTGCCTTTTTCAAGATGCTATTGCACTAGTTCTTGACATTTAGAGAAGAGTTTTTAAAAAGTTGTTTGAAGCTTAAAATGAGGAGGAGAGAGGTGTGAAATGTTCTGTTGTGCAACAGATGCTAAAAAAATTTTTGAATTCTTTGTAAGTTACTAGAGGATGATATCAAAGGTGGGGAAGTTGCTTTTGAGTAGATTCTGTTGACTGAATTTCTTGGCTGTCATACTGCCCCTCCCCACGTATTGTTGTGGGGCACACAGAGGAGGTCTGTTAGCTTGTCAACAGTACTCAAAATAATGGTAGCAACAATGAAAACATATTTACTGAAGATAGCCAGTTGATCAAATTTCTTGACTCTCTCTTGCATATACCCAGGCTCTGTTGCATATTCAGAGATGAAATGATCAGCCTCTGCATTTAGACTCTTCACTCTTTAGAAGAAAGAAGACCATGTGCTAGACCAGGAGGATGTTACAAGGATGATGATAACAAATTCCAAAAGGGAATTCGAACACAGTGTTTCAGAAGTTATGGGAATCGGGAACATGAGAGAGGGCTAGGGAAAAATCCAACGGGGAAGAGTGGAAGGCAACCATTAGAAAAGTTGATTTTGGCTTTTACGCCAAATTAATTTTGCTATTTTACCTTTTTTTTTTTCCCCACTTTTGCTGGACTTCATGTCTTTTCACATCCCTCGTTATACCTTGTGATGAAAAGGCAAATAACCACAAAGCAGGAAAGAAGTTCTGGATTCTCTTCTGTGGTCATTACTCATCAAACTTCATTTCTTCCCACTAGCTACAACCATAGCTCCATGATTATTGTTCATAGTGAAGACCAGAGTTATTAGAAAAAGATTACACTTCTCTTTAAGAAGGTAGGAGAAGAGGCAATATACCTTAGAAAATTTTACATTAAAAAGAATTGAGAATGCAAATGTTTTGGGAAAAGTCCAGTTTCTAGAAGATTTATGTACTAGGAAAGGGTAGTTGTTCTTTCTTTCTAACTTTGTCCCAGAGGGCCCAGTGAAACAGGTATTACATTGCATTTTCCATGTATGTCTTTTCTAGTTTAGGCTTGTATGTACAGTATTCCATTTCCCTGTTTGAATAAATGTCTTCTCTTTAACTTGAAATAGAACTCAGTAGGACGTTATGTGGTACTATGTATGCAAACTTCATTAGTCACACTTAAAAAAAAAATTCCTTCTTTGTCTGCTCTTCTTTAATCTTATCGACTATTATTAAAGAAGCTTCATGTAAGATTTACTCATGATCTGTTTTGTACATTAATCAATTGTTGCCTTTGGCCAACATTAAATTAATTTGGGTAATACTTTCGTATAATATTATGTTATTTTGTATTAGTAGAAAACATTAAATGTCACTACTGAAAAGAAATTTATAGAACCTCATTTCCTGAACATTTAGTCTAAAACAACTCTTAAAGTTATAAATGCTTTTTCTTTTTAAAAGAGTTTTAGACATGTCACCATAGTTTTGGGGGCCTCATGCCCTCTGCCTGAACTCCTTCGATGCTTCATTCACATATCAAACACAACCAGAAATCAAGCTAAATCTTCCCATTTTTCTTGACATAGCCATTTGCTTAGGATAAAAACAGTGCGGTTGATGTCTGAAATCATTTCAGACTTTTCAGCTTATCTGAGAAATCATGCTGTTTGACATTCTTCGTTACTTCTTATGAGAAAAAAAGCAAATAACCACAAAGCAGAGAATTTTACAAATCCATGAGGAATTGGAGTTGAGTATAGCACACTTTGATTATGGAGACAAAAATGGCCAATTTTATGACTAGGGGTGATCAAAAACACACTCTACATGTGTAATCAGATGGTTAGTAAACACTTTCTCACAGTGAAAATATAACATGACTGTTGCTAGTCAGGCGTTAGTAAGGAGAGTATAAATTATATCACTTTAAAATCGTGGTTCATTTTGTTTATATATCTTACTTATGCACTTATATTTGTCTTTGGATAGTTTTTTATCGTTCAGTTTCATTGGAACTTGAGGATCAGGAGGTTTAAATGTTTTAAAAGGATTTCTTTTTTACTGTTACTGCTGGGGGACTAAAGGAGAGGAAAAAAGTTGAACCTGCTTTATAGTTACCGACATTGGAATATTGGCAATGTCCACCCATAAAATCTTATCAGCACTTTATTGGGAAAATTGAGTAACATATAACTGATAATAACTATAGAAAGAATAATTTCTGACCCTTTTTTTTTTTTTTTTAAGATTTGTAGCCAAACCATGTGCTATAGCCCTCAACATTCAGGCCAATGGACCACAAATTGCCCAGCCAAATGCCATTCTGGAAAAGGTCTTCACTGCGATTACAAAGGTATGATTGTCCTTTTCTGGGATGTGAATTGTCATGACCACCATTCTCAGTCTGCAGTCATTCAATCCCTTCTCTCCTGGCTTTGAGAACTAACTTGCCCAGCCTCATGCTGGAAGGCATGCTTGTGGAAAGCATGCAAGCATTGTGATGAGACCAAAATGGGTGGAAGCTGAAGAAATGTGGGCATGTTTGAGACCTGTTTGTTTACTCTCCAGTTGATTTCGAAAGCTATCTGGGAAGAAGTCTAGATTAGATAGTTATTAGTCTCATTCCGTGCCTCTTTTAATCTGACATGACGTGAAGCACTATGTAAAACAGTTGGATGGCACTTTGCGGAGGTGAGTGGGTAGAGCTGAGGAATGTAAATAATGTATGTGTGAGAAAAAGTGCCCGTTTGCTTTTAGCACCATCCGTATGTTCTCGCAGTTGTGAGACATAGACAAATGTGCACAAAAAGGGGAATAATTGAAGGAGAGAAGAGTTGCAACGTGAAGGAGTAAAGAACAAAGGTCAGGATAGTTCTAAGTTATAGATTCACTGTGGAGAAAGTAGGAGAGGAGGTATTCACTCTTGTGAGAGTTAAAGTCCAAGCCAAGAGTGGAGAGAGGAGAGCAGGGGAGGGGAGGGAGAAGAGATGGGGAAAGGTTGCCCCACCCCCTCTCCAGCTGATAGCTCCATGAGAAAAAACGGGGAGGAAAAAGACCAAAGTCCAAAACCCAAGTCTAAGGCTGTGAGAAAATAAAGCAAATCACAGTCTCCAAATGCCTTTTCTTATATCTTTCTCTTATCTTACTCTTGCATGGACAAGAAGAAAAGAACAGAAGTGCAACATTCTATGAGAAGTATTGTGTATTTGTGTATTAAATGGTTGGTTCATTTTCCCTCTTTGGTTTTTCTGGGAGAGTTACTCATGCGTTTAAGATGTGATTTGACAATGTTAACCAAATTTTATTCCTTTTTTAGAATTTGTGTTGCTAACCATTTATTTCACTTGTCTCTTGTCTTAAAACCATTAATTCCAATATTCAAACACTTTTTAAAAAATTTTATGGTCTTTACCTCTGCCAAAATTCTCTAGGGTTTTTCCCTCTATTCTTTTAAAAATAGTATATTTTTCCTGGAAAAGTGGAATAAAGCACCAGGTGTTTTTTAGATCTCTGCTAGGAAGGAGAGAAGAGTGAGTGGCATTTGAGGAAGAGCTCTTCTGCTAGTTTTGTGGGATGATTTTAGATTGCCAAATTCCACCCTGAAGGGACACATATACTACGGTATTTAAAGGAAGAAAATAATAGGAAAAAACTTGCATTTTCATTCAACATGTCAATTTGCTGCAGTGAAACACCTTTTTCTCTCTAAAAGAGCAGATGTGTAGGGAGTTGTCAGGTTAATTTTTTAACGTGATTACAACACATTTGTATTTATCTTGTGAATTACTCTAAATGCATAATAAAATGAGTTTTCTACCCAAATATTATGTCTCCCTTTAGAAATCCTGCAGTGAACATTTTATTTCCCTTGCCTTATGTTTATTATGGTTACTGGTGAAATTTCTTCTATAAAGGTAATAAAAGGATTTTGTAGCCAGGTTGACTGCTCTGGAGAATACTTGCTTCGTGCTACTTTAATGATCAGATTCTTTTAGTTTCCACAGTGATTCTTTTGAAAATTTTCACATGATTAAAGCAGAAGCCTCATGTTTTAAATATAAATGCAGCAAAGTTGGAACTGTTTTTCCTTGAATTCTTTGTAGTTCTCCAGTGTTATTTGTGATATAAGAAAGTAGCAAGTCAGTTGACTGGAATAGAAGTAGCAGGACTTGGGGCGTTTGAACAGTGTCTGTATGTGTTGGAGTGATCATTCAGCATTCTGGCCTTAACCATGCTTTCAAGTGACCTTTGATGAAGGCCATGATTATCATCTTTCAGATGTGTAGGGATGTACCCTCAAAACTTACTACTTACAGGCCTAGCTACGTAATTTGTGGGGACCAGCGCAGAATGAAAATCTGGGGACCCTTGTTCAAAAAGCATGAAAAAAAGAGCCATTAAAAACATAGAAATATAAAGCTTTTCCCTTTCTGCCATTGTCTCTCTCCTCTCTTGTCCTGTCAAGGTGTTATTTTATTTGCTATTTAATGTCATGCTCCCTGAGGCATGGGGATACTCATGGGGCAAGTACAGACCCTCACAAGTGCCTGGGGACCCCACTCTGACTTAAGGCACACACAACCCACTGGCTGGCTATTGGGCTGACATGCCATGCCTTGACCAAGGCAGAGGAGTTGAGGGTAGCTTCTCCCTTTCCATGGGCCTATTGCCCTAACCCGTGGTGGATAGGTGACCTCTAAGTGTATTGAAATCTCTGTGCCAGGACACACTAGGTATCCGGTTTGGGGGTGGGCAAGACGCTTATCTCCACCGAGTCACCTTCCAAATGCACTGAGGTGCTGCCTGCCCATGGTGCAGATGGCTGCCCCCATGCCCCACCTTGAGAGACCATGGGGTGTGCACACCCAACCCAGCCCTTTCTATGCTTGCACCCAGGGTAGCAGCAGTCACTAGGCAGCAGTGGGAAGGGAAAGGCTGGCAGGACCTGAGGAGCCAGGGAATTAGGTTACCCAGAACTTGTTTAAGGAAAGTGGTAGGACTGTGTGTGAGCCAAGACTCCAAGCCTCTGACACATGCTTCCGCATTCCATTGGACTTCACATTCAGAACACAATTTCCATAACAAAAGTATTAAGAATTTTAAGATAGCGGCCACAGAACTTTAAACCCCAAGTGTGGGCCCTTCTGAATGTGTGACTGCACTAGTCACATGCCCTGACTATGTAGTTCTCATCTGTGAAATTAGCTGATAAATTTGAACCCCTTTATATTCTTCAGCAGTGTTTCCTCTTGAGGTAACATCTGTGTGTCTGTCTCTCTCACTCCCTTCCCCCCCCAATTCTAAAATTTAATAAACATTTCAGAGAATCTACCCCTGTTGCAAAATAATTAGACGCATTGATTTTTTGAGTCAGTCAGACCTGAGTTGTATATTGGAACATCAGCTGTGCTGCCTCCTGCCATTGTGGCCGTAGGCTGTAAGTCTGTCGGTTAGTAAATGAGGGGGAAGCTGTTTGGGCCAGGGGTTCCCACACTTTGCATTAGGATCACCTGAGGAGTTAGAAGCAGATTGCTGCATCCTGTTTTAGAGATTCTGATTCAGCAGACTTGGGATGGGGCTCAAGAACCTGCAACTATGGGTTGTCGCACTCATTCAAATGAACAGAATGATTGTTTTTCTTTAGTGGGTATTTCTGAGTTCACGTGTCTTAACTGATTTATCCAGAATTATCTAGGCATATATATTCTTAACATCTGAGGATTCTCCTGCCATATTATTTACATGTATCTAAAATCCCAACTACTTCGCTTTTTAAATCAAATCAGTTCCTGAGCCATTGAGCTGTCGATGCAAATAATCCATAACCAATCTATAAATGAAAATTGGGGTGAGTTTATTCTGAGCTAGATTTGAGGACTAGCTTAGCTTGAGGCCTTCCTTCCCCAAGGAAGGAAGGGCACCAAAGAAGTGGGGTGTACAGAGTGGTTATATACCCTCAAAGAGTATGTTTCACATATGATTGAAATGTTCCTTTTACAATAGTCACCAGAGATTGCTCTCTCAGCACAGCGATTGATGGACACACCAGGTAGTAGGTCTGCTGTCTTGGTGGACACAGCAGGAAGCAGATCTGTTGTCTCCAAGGGGTGGTCACAGGTGAGCTGGGTGGTCACAGTGTGGGTGCAGCAATCAATTCCTAGCCTAAGGAGAGATGCTTATCCTTAAGGAAATGCTAGTATGGGGGAAGCTGCACCTTTATCTTAAGGGCATTTGTTCTTGCCTTTGGGACATAGCAAATGCTTAAATCAGATATTCAATGCATGCTCAGTGGCCGTGTCAGGACCTTTTGGACAAACAAAGTCAGGCTGAATTAGGTTTACACCAAATGGCTTCCTCATGTACTCCAATATATCCTATTGCTTGCCATTTGTTTGTCAGAGGGAAGAATATATGTCAGCTGTGAAACCAGGTTTTGTGATCCAGAGAAATCATGTCATAATCTACTTTTGGTATGTTTCACTATATTTTAGAAATTACAGGCAGATTTCCTATAATTTGTTCTCCCTCATTCTCCTCCTATGCCTGTCTCCTTTCTTTCCTTTTCCCTCCCAGTACTGATTAGAGTTAAGGTTATTAAAATTAACTTAGATATTTCTAGTATAAAAATGTCTATATAAGTCAGCATTATTTCTTTCTTTCCCTGGAAATGTTTAAAAAAAGAAACTTTATGAGGAACAATAAAAAATACCAATAATAAAACATAAACACAAAAAAAGAAAGAAAAAGGAAAATCTCACAAACTCTATTTTTGGCAAACTTGGAGATACGTTTCTCTGGATTTCAAAATATCTATAAAGGCTAACAAAAACAGCTGGGGTTGGGCGGAAGCCAAGTAGGAGGAAGTGAAAAGGATGAAGTGTGCATGGAGGGCTCAGGGGGGCTAGATTTTAGGAAAAACAGCTCCTGAAGCCAAGTGTTTGCAGCACTAGGTAGAGGAACTGGTGAGCAAGGCTGGCAGGTGCACTCCTGGACTCAGTTTAATTCAGAGAAGCAGAGGAGATACACAGAAAGCGACACGGATGGCACATTTGTAGAAAGCAGTCCACCTGGGTGGCAACTACACTACAAGAGAACTTTCCCTGCTCCCCATAACACTAGGGGCTGGTCAAGAAAATCCAACTCATTCAATGATGAGTAATGAAGAAGGAAGCCACCCAGCATCAAAGTGAAGACAAAGAAACTATACCAATGCTTATTAACAAAAATTGTCACTAGAAAAATGAGGCCACATGGCAAATGAAAATTGTGATCAAATATTTTATCATAAATTTAAAAGAAGAATGAAGCAATAACTCTGTGAAGGAAGACCACACACAAAAAAAATATAAGAGC